ACCGCACAACCACTAATCCACCGCTACGCACAACTACGCTCTGATGATGTCACCTCGATTGGTGATGAAACGTTTGCAACCAAATTGCCCAGCTCAGCAAACAAGCCAACACATTCGACTTTCCGGGAAACGCTTTCAAAAAGGTGGCTAAAATAACACAAACAAACACCATTAAATAACGCATCATCTGGGTGAGCGTGAAGCACGATCAACTCGTAGGTACACTCAACATTTCAAGTAACCCCAGTATGAACATAGAAAAATTTGTGTAAAAATTTTGAAATGGACGTTAATTATTCGAAGCCCTATAATCTCCCGTAACGCTCGCAGATTCTAAAAGTCCTTTTTGGACACTAATTCAAGTTGGAGGCGCTGTCGGATAGGGCTGTTAATTGATGTCAATCCCGTTTCTGTTGGCAGGCTCTCTCTCAGGTTTACCTGAAACAATGCTTGGAGATCTAGGCACCTAAGATTGAGTGTAGCGAGCTAGCACTCAGTCATTTCATAGTTTACACTTATTGTTTTTCTTTCACATCTAAGCATTATAATAAACTATGTTTGTACCACAGTGAAATATCAGCGCTTAACGTTGATGTCAACTCACCGCCGATCATGATGACGATGCTGATGGTGATGCTGGTGATGGTGATGCTGATATGCCACGACGAACAGTGGGTTGTGTTTGACCGTGTTGGCGAATGTCAAACACTAGTTAGCGTTCATATCATTACCAATCTTGTGGACATGCGCTCAAGGTGCAAGGAAGAAATAGGCGATACCGTTCTACACAAAGAGAACATGAGAGAAATGTTAACAATTCCTGAGGTTACGAACTGCACATAGATGAGTCCACTTCTTACACAAACGCGAACCGATTCAAGCCACCTCCGGACGCCCACAATTCAAAGTTCAGGTGGGCGTTCTAAACTCTAAAGAGTATTTTCATCAAAACGAGAACTCGTATTATAGCTTTCATATACATTCAGTTTGAATGGCTTGCAAGGTCTTATCATTGCTTGCTGATCAAATCAACGAAGGAAATCTTGCTACGCGAACCCGCGATTCCGAAAATGGAAAATGAAGATTACAGAAAGGGGTGAAATATCCGAGCAACATTCTACTGGTATGAGAAAGCCTGTCCAATGATTCTACTTTCAGGGCCTTGTAATTTTATGTAAACTAAAACCATAGAGAAAAGATGATGCGTTGGTTCGAAGCTTCGCTTAACTTTCAGGTTCACCCACTTATGTCAACCAGAAGTGTGATTAGACCATCAATCTACGCACTGAGTACATACCCAGCATTTGAGAAGTTGAATCTATGAGTACAATTCATTTGTCAAATTTTAAAAAGACCTACGGCAAAAACAAATCTTTCCCCGGTGGTTTTTAACACAAAAACCGTTTCACTATCCTCGTGGACCAAAGTTATAAGTGGATGTACATATGAAGCCAGGTGCTATGTGAGGACTCCGGATTCTGATCAGTACTCCTTGAAGCGAATAGGTGCTCAAAGAAAAAGTCATAGGAAGCACCACAAATCACCAATGTGCACACATTGTTTTAAAAAAATACGCAAATGAACAGACATTGAACGAGCTGAATAATATGCAGAAAGTTTACACATATTGAATGTTTCCGTATCCAGCAATACGTTTAAGTGGTTACGCATGTCATTGTTCTAACACTGGACGAACTTTGAAGCTGCATTCCACACCACCCCAGAAACTTGGAATTCACTTCCTGTTGTTTGGCCTCTTTGGGCTTATTGGGTGTATTAGCTGGCACAGGGAAATATAGCCCAAATGTTTCTTGTTTGACCCACCTCTTCAGTGCACAAAGATTCTCAACCCATGGAAGTTTTGTCTTCTCACCATAAAGTTCACTGTTCGTTGAGTGATACTGTGCTCGCTACCTGGAAGTAAATTTGTCCACGTTTCGAAGGAAGTTAGAGATTTGGCCCAGATCCAGTACCTGCATCTAGTTTGTTGCACCATTCCACAAGCGTGGTGCTCAGCGTCTTGCAAACAGCACTTTCCAGTAGAAGTTAACATCAGAAATCGCGGTGTTCAGGAGGGACGTGAATATTGTTTCTGGTAGACTTGTTTAAACTTAGGTTTTGAAGGCTTCTCAACGGTCAGCTAGGATGTTCTCATCATCCAATTCCAGCAATGGTGCAACACGTATCAGCAACGAACAAGCGTTTGATCCGGACTTACACAGGCGTTTCAGAATGAGCGACGCCACGTATAGCTAATGTCTATGTAGTCTGTCTGTTCTACCTGTTTGATTGTGTGTAGGTGCACCATACCTCGATTTAGCTTAGTTCGGTTCGCAAGTTACACGTAACTATTTCAGGCGTCCGCCGTTGCCCGTGCATTTCGAGTCCGGCCCTGGACCCGCTAAATGAATTGCGAAAACACTAAGTTTGCTAACATGTGCGTTCATATCTTCGTAAACCACAATAATATATGGGCTTGTTTTTTCTGGTTGTTCTTCAAAATGATGCAAACAGCTACCATCAATGCGATAAACCATTCAGTGAGAAAACCTTCAGTTCAGTGACCTCGAACATGCAGCAGTGCCTCTTGGATCACCAGAGGAGCGCAGTTGATAGCCAGCGGAATCCCGTGAAGAAATCAGTACAGTAAACTTGATGGGATATTACATACTCAAATCAGAGAAAAAAGAAGCGTGTCCAGCGAACCGAAGAATAATGTCGGGGCGTTTAAGGCTATGGCTACCGAACTGACCGCAGATATTGCAGTTGACAACAATCGGAGGTAACCGGATCCCTCATATAGTAAGAATGCGCGTGCGAGGACATCATTACAACCGATTGAGGAAAGTCAGGGTGCAGAATATATGAAAGAGGAGGAGAGAAGAAGGGCTTGTTGTAGTCTATTTTCGCTTACTCGCCTTGCGAGATACAGCAAACAAAGCAACCTGGTTGATGGCATCAGTCGAGGCCGATATGATATGAGATCACTTGTGAGCGTGCAATCTATACTTGAGATTAGGCTGTGATTACACCAGTCTAAGGAGGAATGTTCTTCACCGAGAAAACTTTTATTTGCAAAGACGAAACAAGCAGCTACAATTCGCTGAACAGAAGAGTATACGTCTAATTTCCTCATAGATTTCGCAAACTGAAAATTCTCAAGTGTCCCAAGAGAGTGAAACTAACGCCCCTAAAACGGACCCCGGAGAGCAATTTGAGGCGGAGCGGAGATTCGAGAAGACCACAGCTCGCTTGCCAGAGCAATTTGAGGCGGAGCGGAGATTCGAGAAGACCACAGTCAACTCGCTTGCCTAATCAGTAGTGTCCGTTGCTGCATATAGGAAAAAAGAATTTGATGTCTCAAATTAGGGCTTCATTCCAAGAGCCTAGTTGCACTGGTGGAATTTCAGATTGGTGTTGGATTGTGCAGTCTGTCACCGGCGAAAATCCGACCTCCAACATGGATGATTTCTACCCAATGGTATTAAAGGCTTTATGAGTGTCACACATTAATACGGCTGCGCATCAGCCTAATGCGCAGCGGAGCAATCATGTCAAACGGCCGTGCGATTACGCCTGAACGTCTGAATCACGTCCGATTTCATCATGTGCCGGAGAAAGGTCAAATAAAGACAGAGAAATTTCACACCAGCTCCGTGGCCAAGGCACACAGACGGCGCAGAAGGCGCACAGAAGGCGCACAGACGGCGCACAGACGGCCATCTATGATTAAACGAGACAGAGACGAGCGCCCGAGAACCGGTGTGGACGTGAAGTAGACACACTGGTTGGTTGACAGCGGATCGACCATCAAATACGGTGACAAGTTAATCATATATAAAAAAGTTTGTAATTGCGTTGATACAGAGTTCCTTCAGGTCGTCTTCTTGTCTTGTGACTATACAACAGTAGCGTCAGGGCAGTTGAAGAGATACAACACACATACAATTCTCAGTGAGTTGTTGAGGCGCACAAATCGACCGGCCATTGTAAACTCCAGGATCTGAAAGACACAGATCCAGCATATTCCGAGTTCCAGTGACAAAACCGTCAGCGGGCGAACAAGAAAACCCTTTTGCGATCATTTCAGGAGCTTGTTCCGTCATGAAGGGTCGTGCAAGAAGCCTCTTCAAAACCGAGGGTGGTATTCGTGGTCATAGGATTGATTGCAGTGAATCTCCCACAACTGTTTCTAACGGTTTTTTTTAGCTTGGCCACATCGTCAAGGAAACGTTTCACGACATCGTCATGGATGTGACAACCCACCATAAGCCAACGGTAATGGGCTTGTCCAAGAAGGATGAGCTCATCTGTTACAAGGAGGTATTCGATCAATTCCAGACGCACTGCTTCACAATTCAGCAGGTGAGTTGGCCACGTGGTGCCCGAAAACAAGTGGGCAAAATATGTATACCTTATTTGCCAATGCATTCACCCTCGGCGTCACATATGATGAGCATCAGTCCCAAAGAACTCCTAGTTAAACATCCAGAAAACGACATTTACGGTAGGGAATTTTGAGGCAAATCTGATGCTTATATCAATAGCGCTCTGGTGCTTTTCTGAAAATTGGACGGTGATCCCGAAACATGGTGTTCAACAGTTTGTGGGTCAGCTTCCGAAGCAACTTTATGTCTATGCCCGTTAGCACGTTGGCGAATCACGCAACGTGGAAAGTGATGTAGGTTAATCGGAAGATTAAACAATCAGACGTGTTCTGGAATAAGATCTCCTGTTCCTTGCAGTGAACATGTGAATATACCAACATTGACAGCAACTGAATGAAGTTTTCTGAGTACAGTTCAGTTCAGCTCGTCGGGTAGTTCCTCTTGCCGTTCCTGGCATGAATGAACCCCCATCCGGCCTAAACCGATCACCAGGACAGTGTGATTGATTTTTTGGGAGTGACGCGGGACAGTAGTGACGAAGGGTCCGTGTGTTAAACCCTGCTAAGAAGTTTAGTGAAGCAACATTTGGCCAGCAATTCTGGTCAGACTTACTGGCATCATTATTCAAATCGAGCAATTTTGAGGAACATTTACCGAACAAATCGACATCCAAACAACAGAAAGCTGCAATAAATAGGTGAAAGAAGAAGCTCGAGTTCATATTGATATTTCTGTTTCATTTCTGCGCGCGTTGTGGGTACAATGATTTAAACACATTTTGTGACCCACAGAAACCATTGTGTACAGAGGAATTTCACTGAAAAGCACAGCTGAACCCAAAAAAACCCAGACATTTCCCTGTACAGATGACGAACTTTTGTAAATTCCGGTGAATTTTCAACAGGTCAGATTGTCTGACCGATTTCAGATTTCCTAAACAAGTCTCGATAGGTTTTTTGTCCTTTCTATTCACAATCGACAGCTGTTGCAACCAGGATCTCAGCTTGGAATAGAAGTTCGTCACCATTTTAAATGCCTACTATCTGCAGAGCAGAATTAACAACCTAAACTGGACTCTTCAAACGGTTGCTGAAATGTTTCGTGCAGCTCACGGCCAGTTTTGGCCTTCTCGGTGCCTTCTCAGGTAGACGCGCTTCCTGAGTTCTCGTCATACTTTTGTTTCCGTTGAGTATTTATCTGAAGCAAAACATCATTGGTGAGATTCGCACGTATTCACTTTTGTCTCTTGTCTTGTGTAAGGTGGGTCCAAGTATGACATGAAGTTGACGGGAACTTGGGAACTGCGACTACCTGCTGAGCCCCCAGACGGGTGAAACCGGCCATAGTAGTACTACATATTTTGTTTCGTGGAGTTCACGCACATTCACTAATCTGCTACGTAGCTGAAGACTTTCGCGTCCTCTCTGCTAGCAGTGAGGGAGTTTTTATCATGACGCTTCGAAATGTCCGAAATTCAGATATGCAGATACTCGCCGACACCTATCATAAGTAACTTTTTCTAATATCGGGCCCAGTATCCCCTCGAGCTTCAGTGTGCCTAACTGACAATCTTTCCCACTCTTTAGCATATTTGACACATTTTCCCAGGAATGCTGAACTCAGTTGGTGTACGTTAGGAGGAATCTTAAGTGAACACAATTTCCTGTTCCTGTGATAGCATTCTTGGGGATTGGTCCAAACCTGTGTTGGACATGTATGCTCTTCGATCGATCGTTTGTGTCCTGAATTATTCGGTTGCATACCTGGACTGATTTCCTAACTGAGATTCTGGTATCTCTCTGCCGTTAGGTGCCACAGGTAGCTCAGCACACAGTTCATCTAATGGAGCTGTGCGAAGCCGGATACGAGGCCGAAATCCTCATCGAGTCTGTCCACAGCGTGTGCTCCTAACGGACACGCATTCTGGTGTGGTTCTGTCAAAATAAAATGAACTGAAACTGATCCGTATCGTGTTCTGCTACCGTTACAAGACATGGGTTGTATGTTTCATCAAACAAGAGGTCAAGAAATTGTTCCGTAGCAGTTCGGAAGTAGTTCAGATAAATCTGTCCGGATTCTCAGGTCTTGTGGACTCATCAAGACGTGTTTACCCTATCTGACGTACTATTGCACGATTTATTCACAGGACGATTAATAAAAGACCGGTGGATCAACGCAGTTCGGACAGTTATTGGGTACTCTGTCGACTAAAACACTGCTCAAATTCCCCGTTTTTCTCTTGTTCACTCCAGTTGAACTATGACACAGTCAAACAGCCCCATCGACTTTGAGCACGTTCTCATAGGGCCAGTCACAACTTCATCGGAAGACGGGTTATTTGGATTCGTCTGATTTTGTAAATGTTCCTTACGACACTGGCAACCGGATATTGTATTGCTACTCAAAAGTTCGCTGAATACTCTTGAACCACCCACTATCCGTCTCCCATTTCTGGGTTATATTAGAAAGCGTACAAATAAACAGTAAATTAGAACACAAGGTTCATTAAAAATTGCAAATTAATAAATTAAAAACAAATCAACGCCACCGAGTAGATGTGCCCTTACCAGTTGATTTGCACTTTCCACAGATGCCCTTCGTGGGACCAACGTACAAAATCACTCCATACAGGGCAGTCCTTTCGCGGTTGACTAGACATGTCAATCCACACACTGCGTTGAAGGTTTTGTGTGAAATGTGGACTACAGTACTCAAACAGCCCTACACTGCACTGCACTAGATGCTGTGTGGTAACATCCCCCCTAGTGGAGGCAGAAGAGTATAAAACACCAGAATGAAATACGTCGACATTCGTTAGTTGATAAGTAGTTCTACTGACTGGCAGTCACTGGCCATAAGCAACCCAAGGACAATGGATTCTCGTCCCGGTAACTTTCCGTGTTGTGACATTATGGGATCAGTAGTCAGCAGTCTTTAGCGCTAGAATTTTCTTCTATTGTAAGGAATGCGTTTCTCCTGAATAATTCACTGGCGCCCCACGATATACAAGCAAAACATCAGAGTCAGCGAATCCAGCCAACACCTCAACTTAACCGGCGATCCGACTGGTTCAGATGTATAGAGAGTTTAGCGATCTTTCATGGCAAGTTATCGCCACCCCGGTGTTCGGTGTCAGAGAAAACTTACTGACAATGGTACACAGCAGCTTTATTCTAAACAAGCGAATGTTGGCGAGTGCAACAGTTACACCGGCCCCGCTCTAGTTAAAAGACCCCATTTGAGATTGATCCTGTCCGTCCGATGCGCGATAGTGAACACCCATCAAAATCGATCTTGTTTTTATAAGATACCTGAACGCTGATTACATTTGGTCGTGGTTCTGTGGCATGCATGAACACTCATCGGCTTTTGCTAATTTGATTGAATGATTGACTTTCCCGCATGCTCGCCGGATTTTGAATTCAGCTTTAGGTGAAATTTTAGGGTATCCAAAGGCGCCCGGCGTCTAAAGTTTCCTTTCGGAAACTGACATTCCTGATAGATACAAATACGCTCACTTGCACAATAACCATTGTAACGGACGAGTCGACTGAACCCTTATTAATATTTCGTGCATGCTGGTGTCTTTCAAATGGTTTGCAAATGAAACTTTATCTCAGAATTCTGTCCAATAATGAGTTGGTTCATCCCTCTCCGTATGCAAATCACTCGTGTTGATTGTGTATTAATAATTAGTTACCTAAATTTTACAGCACCCGAAGGTGGCCAGTCCACTGTATGGAGCAATATGATAGTTGGCTGAATTGATTATCTTGAATCGAACGATCGGGGAGTGTCTGGAGGTCAAGGGAGCAGACTGGTGCCGACGGTGTCAGTCTCCCATTGTCTTTCCATACAGCGAATCACAGACAAGTACCCGTTCACGCTGATGTACGTTCGACATCGGCGTCTTCTAGTTGGTTTGGAATAATGGGTTGTAACCGGTACCATGTTTGTAACCGGACAATCAGCTAGCAACACCGTCGAATTCAGTAACCTCCTCTGGCTTCTAGCCACTCCCTGATCGTTCGGTTATTGCGTTCGGCTGGACAATTTGCTAGAGAGTGGTATGGGGTGGACCTCACCTGTCTGATGTCCAGCTTCTGCAAGCAACCCCTCAACACTTTGTTTTCAAAGCAAGGCATCTGATCAGTTAAGGTCATTTGTGGAACCCCGTGTTTGGCCACGATGTGACGCATTACTACTTCTCTCAATGTTATTGCCCGTTGATTTGATACGGCTGCCGCTTAGACACATTGCGACAGGTGTTCTGTCATTATCACGATGTATTTATTCCCGCTGGTTGTCACTGGAAAGGGGCCATGACAAAAACGGAACGGAATTATCCGTTTTTTGTTGGCAAATATTCAATTGGTTTTCAGTCACTTGCCCTTGACCGATGAGTAGTATCCTCCGTATCACATTCTGACCTACTTGATCGCGATTCTGAGCAGCAGATCAACCGACTGGAATTAGGAGACTGCGGTTCATAACTAGTTGAATCAGTGTCTGAAAGTGGTTCGGTAAAGGCCATAACCTGTGTAGCTAGATCTTTTACAGCTGCAGAACGAAGTTACAGTCAAATGGAATAAGAAGCGTGGGCGAATTTCGCCGTGAAAATGTCCCACAAGCTGCTTTATGACCGAAAATTTATTTTAATTAGCGACCACAAACTTCATTTTGCCGAGTTCGAATCCTACATGGACATTCCTGTTTATTCTGCTGATCGGTTTCAAACACGGGCTACCTTGTTTCTTGGTTATAACGTTAGCATCAAGTTTAAATCTAGTGACAAGGCCAGCCAGGCGAGGGCATTATCAAGACTTTTAGAAAATAGACCAACAGACCCAGAATGTTCAGCTATAGCTCAGATGTCAGGTGAACCAAAAATGTGATTTACATCATTGAAAGCCATCACAATGAAAGCCAACACACATTTGCTATTATACGTAAGGCAAACATACAGGGTCCGCTGCTGACCTGTTGGTAGGTTTAGGACGTCTGGGGGCTCATTCATGCCAGGAAGGGCAAGACAGACTTCTCGACCAGCTGAAAAACCAAAGCTAACTAAAATGACCTTAACGGAACTGAACTGAACTGAACTGAACTGAACTGAACTGAACTGAACTGAACTGAACTGAACTGAACTGAACTGAACTGAACTGAACTGAACTGAACTGCTCTGAATTGAACTGAACTGATTTGAACTGTAGTCAGTTAACTTCTTTCAGCTTCTGCGATTCCTGTCTTAGTCACATTTTTACTCCTAATAAATTGAGATCTTAACCCCCAACTCTTCGGATTGTTTATTATTCCGATTTACCTACATCACTTTCCGCTTTCTATGATCCGCTTTGGTGATAGCGGACGTAGACATAAACTTGCTTCGGGAAAATTACCCACAAACTGTTGAACATCATGTTTTGGGATCACAGTCCAATTTTTAGAATAAAACGGGAGTGTCAGTGATGCAATTATCAGATTTGCCGCGAAATTTTTTACCGTAAATATCGTTTTCTAAATGTTTAGCTAGGGGTTCTTTAGGGCTGATGCCCATCTTATTTTTTGCCGAGGGTGAGCGCAATGTGGCACCCTTGTTGGCGTGCAACACGAAATCAACTCACCTGATAAAATGTGAAGCGGTGCGTCTGGAGTTGATCAAACACTTCCTTGAAACAGATGAGCTCATCCTTCTTGGACAAAACCTTTACCGTTGGCTTATGGTGGGTTGTAACATCCACGACGATGTCATGAAACGTTACCTTGACGATGTGGCCTAGCTGAAAAAAGCGAGATGAATGCTTGTGAGATATTATCGATGGACTATAAAAGAATTCTTGTATAACTAAACGGACCATGTACGATTTTCGGATGTCTTCAAAAAATGACCGCTACAACACTAAACTGATTACCGTTTACCTTCTTTCATGCATCCTCAACAGGCATTCTCCACTAAACAAATCAATTCTCCTCTATAGCGCTATTTTTATCGTTCATTCAGTTGCTATTCTGAGATGATTTGTGTAAGAAAAGTAAACACTAACCTGAAGTGCGCGGTGCAGTATTCGCCAAGCGGTTTCATGTTCTTCCTCAGTTGTGGTCTCCATCAAGCGTCGAGACCTTGAAAACAAAGGCGCCCGGGAAGAGGGTTTTCTATCTGCAACATTCGGCTGGAACGAAGTAAACAGTTGGCCAACAATTACTGTTAACATGATGTCAATGCTGACTAGGAGAAACCTCTTTCATGACTACTCACTATTGGGGATAAATATCCCAGTCAATCTGGCCATCTATCTAACAATTTGTCTCCCTATCTAGCTATCTATGCATCAGTCTACCTGTCAAGAGGTCAACCTTTATGTCTATTTGATTATCAATGTAATGTCCATCTCGCATTTTTTCTGTCTATCCATCTGTCTGCTGTTCTGTCCTTGTGTCAATCGCTTTGTAAATATGCATATATGTATGTATGTACGCATGTGTGAAAATAGGTGTGTATGTTTGTATGTATGTATGTATGTATGTATGTTTGTATGTATGTATGTATGTATGTATGTTTGTATGTATGTATGTATGTATGTATGTTTGTATGTATGTATGTATGTATGTATGTTTGTATGTATGTATGTATGTATGTATGTTTGTATGTATGTATGTATGTATGTATGTATGTATGTATGTATGTATGTATGTATGTATGTAGGTATGTGTGTGTATGCATGTATTTATGTATGTATATATGTATGTATGTATATGCGTATGTTTCTATGTATGTATATATGTATATATTTCTGTATATGTCATTGTATTGCAGATGCTGATGATTATCTGACAGATCGGGTGACACACATGCCAGGTTTGTGCATTGATCTACCTTGTTCTCACTCTCGAGAATGCGGGGCCTCCCTGGTACCCAAAAGAAGCAGCATGTCTCATCACAAAACTCAACTACGTTAAGTCCCTTAAGACACTGGGTGTAAGACCGATTGGGAATATGAAGTTGAGAACCTGACCAGTTCAGTGATTGTGCAAAAAGGTAGGTGCCTTGCTTAACACGAACGCGTGTAGCAATATCGCCTCCGATTTTGGAAAGCACTTCTGTCACTGAAGTGATTGACACAATGGATTTCAAAGCAACCCAACTTATTAGACTTGTGTTGTACTGTGGAATGGGCACTGGGTTCCCTAACCATATGGTGAGGTAAGTAATGACTGTTTTAATAAATAATACAACATACTGAAAATTGCGCAGAACAAATACTGCTATCGTCACATCATTCCGGTGCCTCGGTTGCTCATAATGACCTTGAAATTTTCCAACTGGGAAACTGCCCATCGTCTGAAATGAACAATAATCAGACGATTATTCGTGTATTATCAACCCAGATAGCATCTTTTTCCATACCAGGAAGGAGAGGTCCACAAGGCAAACGTAGTTCTACACTGCATTACCACGCGTTCGTGTTGAAGCATCCGATTTATTAATAGACAGCACTTCCAAAACTGGTTTTTAAACACTAATGTACAGCGTCGATGTTCACCGAATCACTTATATGTTCATCTAAGTTTGCTCGTTCAGGTCCATGAGGAAATTCAAAATTACATTGTCCAAAATTCAGCCGATCGGACTGAAGCGCGGTGTCTGATGTGCTAACGTATCTTTCAAACATGCGCTTGGTTGTACTCACAAAGCAGTGAAATTTAATCATTTTGTTGCCCCTCGGCTACTAAAACGTGCGTACAATAATTTGATTTTCAAACCATGCTTTTCGACATCTTGGAACCATAAAAATCGATCTCAAGTAATCATTACGTTTTACCAAGGCAAGGCTTCATTCACAAAATGTTTGTCACAAAGAAAAATAATTCGTTGACCACCGATGCGTACACAAAATTTGGTTTAATATCTCGTTAAGTTTCAACGTGCATCTTAATAGCTTAACTCAGCTTGCTAGTTTAGTAAAGAACTCGACACATGTTATAGTTTGTGCCGCTTTATGCCGCCTAGCCGAGCTGCCTCCTTTGGACGGATATTCCACCCTGTCAGTGAAGTCAAACTATGCTGAGAAACCGTAAACCTGTTTCATGTATAGATGTTTCCCTTGATTGAGTGTCAGCAGAGGTGCACGTCTCACTCCAGTTGGGCATTAGGAAGCGGCGACCATCCGGCCAATGGTTGAATGCATATCCGTTCAGGCACAAAATACTGATCACCACTGTGACCGGCTTTCACTTAGACAGCACGCAGCGTCAGTCATCGTTCACCCACGGAAAACCACATCACGTGGACACGCATTGACTGGCTCCACGGGTGTTATCTTCTCAGACGAAAGTTTCAGTCGTCGTGTAAATCTATCCTTACTCCAAGTTACGCGTGGATGATTCATACATGTATGAGTTGATTATGTACCATAACACGGAAATTTATGAAGTACAACGTACCCAGTGTCAGACTGTTCATAAAAAAACGACACTGGTTAGGCTTGGATATCTAGATGCCTGGACTGGTTAGTTTGGTGAAATTCGACTATGAATCCTGAAGTCCCTGATCAAGAATTTTCAAACTTCACCGTCGCCGTTCAAATGTTTTTGAACAATGTGACATTACACACGTGACCCGACAAAATCTCTCCGTGATGCACTTCAATATGTTTGGTTGCCTGTCAAGGATTACTACAACGACCATGAATACGCTCAGCACAAATGGCTCCTCTTAGGGTGATTGTATCCTTGATGCGAGGAATTGCAGCATAATTCTTCTACTGCTCGTTGCAGATTGAAATGCCGTCCCGTGAGTCAAGCCAGGCTGTGGAAGGAATCTTCGGCCTTATCATGTTTTACGAAAATTTAGAGTGATTCCCATTGGATTGAGGAATTTCAAATGTAATCTCACTACCAACACACTGTAATTGAATTGAATGAACAACAATTTACACGGTGAATGGATTTCAAATGTGAGTTGTCAATCGAGGAGGAAGTCGTAGTTCCGTTGATTGGAAGATGAGCGACGTTATACCTGACTAATTTCGGATAAATCAGGTTGTTAGTTGGCCACCCGTGACCGAACGTTTAAATTTTGCAAGTACAAGGCGCACAGCTGAAGATTTTCAATAAGGATGGAACAGATTTACATCGCTTCTCGGCTTTTCCTCACAGATTGCATTTTCATGCACAGTACACGAGAATATATTCATATTACCACAGATGCGCGCCATCTCTCGAGAAGTAAAAATGGCATATTGTCTTTAGCGAATATACACATCTGCAAATTAATTTGGTTCTTTCGAGAGACTCACCTGGAAACCAACTGAATCTCTCGTTTATGATGTTCTCAGGCAACTAAATGTGCTGCACTAGGCCGCCTCGTGTTTCAGTCGCTACGATGTTTGAAATATCGCGATACATGTATACATATGTAATGTACTACTCATAAGGTTGCTGAAAATCTATCGATGGCATATTGTCTTCGTATCATCTACGCGTCATGGACGACCGTATACGACCAGCTTTATTGTTTGTTGTACCCAAGCTCGGTCAAGTCTAAATGGATCAACCGCGAAATCAGGTGAGTTGAGAAGACCTTAACTTGGTAAAACGAAATCTATGTAATGTTATCAATATAGCACCTGGACGAGGCGTGCCGAACTTGACAGAAAGAGACGCCCGAAAGTCGTAGCTACATTTCCATCAATCGGTGGATGTGTAGGACATGTGCAACTATAAACTCAGTTGTATGAGAAACCATGGGTGGCAGTGCACCTCTTCACTCCTCCTTTTGAAAAGCTGTGTGAAATTGTTAAAACTTACTGATTCACTTGGGGAAAAAATCGCGTGAACCGCACCATGACCAGTGTAATAGATGAACACGTTGCCATCAGGACCGCTGTAATTAAACAGGAATGTTAAGTTGCACTTGAAGAATAGCTCATTAGGTAGCGCTCTCGCGTATAGCAGAGCGCAAAAAAGCCGTGAAAATGGAAAGTCGATTTTAATATTCCTCAAAAATATGGGTTTCGTCATAAGTTACAGAAGCCACGTTGTAACGTAAACGGCCTTGTCTAACTGTTGCTTAAGGAAAGCAGAAGGGTATAAAAAGTTCCACATTTCATTTCTGTCCATGACACAAGAGTGTGGTGTGTAGAAAAAACATGTTCAAGGTTGAGTTATTTATCCGCACAATTCCTGTGCTTATACCGAACACGCAGCTCAGAATATTGTTTGAGACACGCTACTGGATATAACAAGTAGCTAAATTAACTTCCATTAGTGTGCTTTTCGCATGGCCACTTGAATATGGGAATTAAAAGTGGATTTTCCGGACGCCTGTTGGTTTGCTGTTGTATCACGCGAAATAGTAGCTCCTTTGGCAGTTTTCCAGTTTAGCTAGTTGTATCCTCTTGTCATTGGAACGGTGACACTCAGCCGTTTCCAAATCACGCTCTTTGCAGCATAATTATGTTTATGAAATTATCCCCGTGGTGTATTCACTACTGAAGAACAATATTATGATCAAGGTGAGACAATCCCATATTTCGAACATGGACATCCACGAAGCCATACTTTCCATTTGTTGGTCGTTGAACTAGAGGATGCTCATATGTCCTCTGATCCTGGTGATCAGTTTGCAAATGTTCTGTCACCAACCGAAGTGACAGCATGAGTGAATGGTTGGGTCGGCAGTTCTTCCATAACTGTCTGATATTATGCGTTAATCAAGAGAATGCTCATCTGTCCGCTGTATTCCCAGAAAATGCCTAACGATTTGTTCTGCCTGAAAATGTAGTTGCTTCATATGATCTGCATTCTCTGAACTCGAAGATTTTCTCTCTCAAGACCATTTGTTCATTGTCTGATTGATCGATTACCAATTTCTGTTGTGCCATGGTCTCCTTCTCAATCCGACTCCTGGTTTTAGTGGTTAATTTTGGTTGGTTCGCTCTGATTCTCTGTTATGCTGTAGCCTGATTTTCCGAAGTTTGTTTAACTGATGGCTCTTTTCGTTGATAACACTGTTTTTATTTTGCAAGGGACTTTAACGCCCTTGATTACCTATTATAAAGACTATCCTTCTTTCTCTATCTCAACAAACTACGTGCTGGATTGGAAACTCTGAATTAGTTAACACGCATAAAGAGCGGGTGATTACAAATTGCACCACAGTTGCTTTAATTATGGGGATTATGTACCACATATCTTACGAGAATACGAAACATGCGTTTTGCAAATCCGAAAAAGGCTGCACTGCAACACCATAATTCTGGCTGTCATTAGCGTATGCATCAGAATTGTCTACTTCCGCGCAAACTCACATTTCCATAACTTTCTCCCCTTTTTTCAAGTTTCTTATCGTCTTTCAGTACATTCGCGAAGATATACGGTTTGACGTCCTGAAACAGATAAAAATGCATAATCAATTCTTCTGTGACAATGGTGCTATCCATACTTATTTTACTCGCCATCCATCCATCCATCCAATTACAGTTTAGCAAAGTAAGAGAAATCTAGAATCCGATCTATATCTTCACGCAGACTACTTTCTCGACAGTCGCAGAATGATGCAAATTTGATGCCGAACATGACAGTTGGATCCGGCAGGTTGCCAAGACGAACTCTGGTTGAAACAAATAGCCATTCTTGATTCAGTGTCCATCGGAAGCTGTTTGCCAATGGCAAATCCAGAAGGCACCACAATTTTTAGAAGATAGTCAACGTAACTATTTCATGAACAACGCAATGTTCCTCATAAATCTGCCGCAGAATTACTTTTGTGTTTTTTACGCAGCGTCATATAATTTGCACCTTACGTTACCTAGCGAACAAATTCATTCCATTGCTGAGCATGAACATACATACTTCGTCAATTATCACACCCTTGTAAATATCTTCGTTGTCATAGTTATTGAACACTTGACCATTGAAAGGATTCCTGGAAAGATTATTTAAACTAGCTTTTTGGAAGAGATTAAGATGAAGGTCAAATAAATAGAAGTGACATTCTCGTAGCTTCATGTTAAATTTGCTTTCCCGTCCTGTTTTTGAAAGCATTTTCACGCCGATCAGTGCACCATGTGGCACACTCCAGATTAGGTTTTAACTGATGCACAGATCCCACAATGACCCCGGTAGGTGGACAACATAGAACATTACAACTTTTGTGTGAAAAATATTTTCTCTGTGCATATACAGCCAAACATATCTAGTAAGAGATTATAGGAGCATATCTACAACCAGTGTCCACGAATGTAATTCGATTGGGCAGTAAGCTACTTACGTTTATTACAAACTTATTACATACGATTATTATAACTTTCTACGTCACTAGGTGTTTTCCTCCACTGCTCCTAGCAATTGGCTCTATTACAAAATGTTAAGACTACTATGTTGTCCTCTTATTACTTGTTCCAAATCATCAGCCGGCCGATGCATTCAAACGACATCTTGGTATCGATGTTAATAATCTCAGGCTACTGCCAAGGGAAACGATCTTAAAATTTGCAGTTACCAGCCAAAAAATAACCAAAATCATTGCAATTTGATCCAGGTATCAATTGTGTTGATTGCTTTAGGGTTATATGGCGTTCGGTGTCATGAAATGTCATGAAAGGTGGAAACTTTATGGTACATATTGAGTGACGCACAAGAACACACAGTTTACTACAACGCGATTCCATTCATGACTTATATCCGTGAAATTTACGGCTCAGAAATGGGACAATTGAAAGCCAAATAGGGGAAAGCAACTTCTACAGTCTAATTACTATCAGATGGTAAACATTGAACGTGATATTTACTTTCGATTCTTTGCAAAATCGTCGTAGGCGAAGGTAATTATATTCTCCGCTGGAATTTTGTTTGCACGCAATACGTGATAGGCGTGGAAAACGTTTGCCTGAGGGTAAATACAAAGGATACGTTAGTTAGAGATGATAGGCAGAGTGGGGCACATGGTGCTAAAGGATGCGAACAGAATGACTAAGAATGATGTATACTTGGTGGGGTATCAGTTGTTTCAAAAGTGTTCGGATGCCTTATCCCTGCCCATTAATGTGAACGTAACATACTCATGTGTGTTCTTGTTAATTAGTTGCTTGCATTTTGGCACAGCAGGTAACAAGTCAGATATTTGGCTGTTGCGGAGCTGAAATACATTGTTTAGGATTTTGTATCGTGATTTTATCCTCTATCTGAGCCCAAGATCTACCAGAATGTCCATGTTAACTATGCAATTGAGTTCTGGTGCGCAATTCATGCTTCTCCGGAGAGCCCCGAACGCGTTACTTCCCGGCAATCACTCGAAGGCTGAGCCAATTGGCCACGAGCAGCTGATTAGCTTGCGCCGCATCCCACTTGGGAACGCGGTTTGATGGGGTTTCTTACTAGAAACGAAAACCCCTCAATTCGACGTATGTGTGGTAAATCCAAAATTATTGTCAATATTGTTTCGCTGCATTGGACACCATCACAAGTTTCCTACATGGCTAGCACATCACACACGCTTTCGTGTGTTAACTATGCAATTGAGTTCTGGTGCGCAATTCATGCTTCTCCGGAGAGCCCCGAACGCGTTACTTCCCGGCAATCACTCGAAGGCTGAGCCAATTGGCCACGAGCAGCTGATTAGCTTGCGCCGCATCCCACTTGGGAACGCGGTTTGATGGGGTTTCTTACTAGAAACGAAAACCCCTCAATTCGACGTATGTGTGGTAAATCCAAAATTATTGTCAATATTGTTTCGCTGCATTGGACACCATCACAAGTTTCCTACATGGCTAGCACATCACACAACGCTTTCGTGATAAACCTTCAAAGCTGTTCTTATATGCCGCTGTGAATAACAAATAACCTGCGTTAATCTTCCATTAAAATAGTGCAAATTCAGTGCGAAAATGTATCCCGGAAGTGCGGCGCTCGTTCTTCCGGAAGTGAATGCCTCAACTGATTGAAAGTGTTGCACATCAATTGCCGGATAGCTTCCACGGTCGTCAAACTCCATCACCACCCAATGTCATCAGGAACAGTTGTTCATCTGGTTAAGGTGAAACATAAAACGAGACTGTTCGTCACACCAATGAGTTTTCCCATAAGGATGAAACAGCGATATTTATTGATCATGAGATTTTTATCGCGTTCCTTGACATCCTTCGACCTGATCACCATCGATCGATGCTTCCGTTATGCATGAAGCAGATCGATTGAGGGAAGGATGAGAAGGTTTCCTTATTTAGTCTCACTAGATCGCGCACAGCTCTCGACTTTTTCTGTTCCTTTCTGAGGGTTTTCTCGAATGGATCTGGCCTCTGGTGACTTGTTGATTTCTTGACCATCTGTGATTCTGACTTAGAATTACCATCATCCTAATGCCGACGGATAACATCCTCGGTATTGGAAGATGTCCCTTGCATGACCCTTCCAGATGAACTTAACACCTGAAAGAACCGCAAGGAGTGCTCCTGTTCTCCTGTTGACCGTATTGTCTCTCTAACTGGAAATATTCTCCATCTGGTCTTTCAGAGCCTGGATTTTACAATGGCCGTTCGATTTGTGCGCCTCAATAACCCACTGAGCAAAATATTTGCGATACTCATAGAGCCTTTCATACCAG